CGAGTTCTCTCCCTACTATCATCTTATCATATAGAGTAATAGAAAAGTACAGTTTTATAAATAAGACAATTTAGTGTAGTAAGGTTGGCTAAGCGGTCTAAGACGTCGAATTTAAGCTCTGATTCTCGAAAGAGAGCGTGGGTTCGAATCCGACACCTGACAGTTCTTTTTTATGGAATTATAAATTATGTACTAAATAACACAGTAAAGAGTACGCAAGTTAGCCGAGTGGTCTAAGGCGTCAGCTTCAAGATCTGATTCTCGAAAGGGAGCGTGGGTTCGAATCCCACATCTGACATTTTTTTTTACATCTGTATTCATCACATTTCAACTTTACACATATACTGCATCAGTATACTACATTAGTACACTACATTAGTATACTATATTAGTATATCGCTGTCTATGCCGCTGATATACTAACGTATAGCGGCATAGACAGCGATATCGAATTTATCAAAGAATAAGAAAACAACACTAACCTCGCATTCATCGGAAACGAGTTGAAATATAGCATAAAACACAAAAACCTATAAGTACGGATACCACGATTAACGAGAATTCCAACAACCCTTAGGAACACAACGTGGTACCTTTCATTATGAATAACCACCACAGTTGGGATCAGTAATCTTTCATCTACATCTATACATAATGCTGAAAATGTTAAGTTTAATAAATAGCAAGTGACAACAGGACAGGTATGGCAAGTGAACGTTTTACAAACAAACTGGTAACGTTTTTTTTAAATAAAGAGCAGAGACAAAAAGCGTTTTAGATTATTATATTTAATAATTTTGTTCAGCGCGCACGTAGTAACTGACTGTATATATATGCAACTAAAATAAAATTAAATATTTTTGTTTAATTGTATATACACGGTGAGTCACTACGTGCGCGCTCCTCGATATCTCATTAAGTATTATTATTTTATTTATTTACTCGATAGTCCTACCTTTTTTTGGTGTAAAAGTTAAAAATTACAATGTGTAGTTATTCCAATATCTGGAAATAAATATAGACAAAACAAAAACTATTATAATGGCGGCGAAAGAGACATACCAGAAAATAAAACTAAATGGACAAAGAATTGAACAAGTCAGAAGCTATAACTCTCTGGGAACGTCAATAAAATGCAATGGGAAAATCGACAAAGAAATAACAAAGAGAATAAGAAAAGTTAGAAGATAATACAAAGCCTCAAGAACTCATTCTTTGGGAAAAACGAAATACGACAAAAAAATTAAATCATGTAGAAATAAGAAGAAAAATCCAAGGAATCACCAGAAGAGATCGAAAAGAAAAGGAACGCAACAATATTCGAAGGGTTTCACCTATTCTGATTGATTTCTTCTTAGGTTTTATAACCACTGTTTATTTTTGAAATTCTAATGAGACGTTGCCACTTCATCCTAATTTTCTTAAAAATTTCAACCACGGTAGGGCCCACAAAAAATTTCTTTTTTGTTAAATATTTTTTATATCTAACGATGATAGTAATTAACGTTTCATATAAAACAATTAATTTTGTATCTACCATAAAGAAATATTTTTTGTAATTTATTAATAAAATTGTGTATTATCTTAGGAGTGAAAATGAACGTAAAACTTCTTCGCTAATTTTGTGCGATTTTTTAATTAGACCGTTTTTCAGAATACACAGCTGTACAGAAAAAAATAATCTAGCTCCGTTAGTAACAATATGAGATGAGTTGGCAAAAGTAAAGCCAATTCATATTCGCCATTTTCCGGAAATGAGTGTTACACATCGATACAGTTAAGTTTACTAAATTTATTAACCTACTATAATTACAAAATAGATACTCTGAGTATGAAACATCTAGAAGTTAAAACAAAGATATTTCATTATAAGAAAGATTATCTGTCTAAAAAAAGTCGACCCAGACGGCGGACAGACAGACAAACAGGCAGAAATGGCAGACCTATTATTTTCGTACTCTAGGGGTCAGGAGTATTACACATCGGGAAAATATGAAAGTCGCCCGATAGACTCGATTACAATATTTACTTCCTTACGCTCGGGACGTAAAAACCTAGGAATGACGGGAAAACAATTTTTTGTTTGGGTAAAACTTGCAATGAGTCACTTGATGTGACGAAAAAAGGCTACGGTATATAATATTCATACACCAATTGCAAAGTGTGAAAGAATAATTGTATTACACGTAAGATCAAAAAATTTCTGAGACAACACAACACAATTTTATTATCTGCAAAGAATAAATAAAATACCACTCCCGGAGAATAATAATATTCCCGAATATTTAACATACTAAAATGAAATTTCAACTTCTGATTGAAAGATAATTTACATTTCGAACAATCGTACGTAGGTCAGTTATTAGAAGAACTTTATACAGGAAAAGTCGAGAAACAGTATGTACCTACGCCTACACCATAGTGAATCATGTATACTTCGCAAAAATACTAATACAATGTAGTAAAGAAACTTTAGCTGTTGTAGCACAATAACTTCATCAATAAGTCTGAAAAACTGTGAGCATGGAAAACTCAAGGGAATCCCTTGAAAAAAAATGTTTTATATCCATTAGTTCTTTTATAATTGACGACGATGTGTCTTAAATTATTTTAATCATTGTCGTTCGGTATTTTGTAATAAACATTTTTCTCACCAAAAAGTCAATTGTGGTAAGAGAAGCCAACTGTGTGAACAACAAGACAACAAAAATGTCTATCACTTAAACAGCTTTTCGGACGAATTGCATTTTGTATTCTTGTGAAAATGATAATAATGACTTGGTTCGTGTAAATGCCTTATTTTGTATATTTTTCAAATTATAAATAATTTTGAAAAGAGTATAGGTACGTGCCGGAAAAAAATCTAAAAACAGTTTCGTATTAACCAGAAAAAAGTACATTAGCATTCCTACACTCTGAATATTTTCAGATAACCCCAAGGTAGTGTTAGATACACAGTTACTATTCAATTATGAAGGGTGTATTACATCTACATTACAACGAATATGTTAGACGTTTGTTTTTATGAATATTAGGCATGCGGAGACTATATTAATAACTTGTGTGGCGGTTATAGGTTTCAGTATGTTTACCTCAATATTTAGAGGCAGCATCTTGGGTCTTATAATCTGCAGGAAGCTTCCGAAACTTTGCTAACTATCGATTTTCTTCCACACAACATAATTCTGAGTGGATTGGAAATACAGTCCAAGAATGTTGTTAAGATTTTCGTAATACTATTATGCTCCAAACACTCTACTAATTCCAGTTCTCCACACCGACCGAGATATTAGTCTACTTCAGGCTCCAATTCAAACCCCACAATCCAAGTTTTGTGTTTGTAGCAAGTTTCTACGGATTTGGAAGTATGAGACAAGAACTACGTTCCGGCACTTACTACTTGAGTGCTTGTTGTCTTCCGGGTAATGAGTTATTGTGCGCGTCGAGTGCAGTTCCGGCACTGCGATGTGTCCTCGTAGGGGATGCATTAAGATACTATCTGGCGTTTGAAACGTGATGTGAGAAAAGAAAGAACCCAGAGAAATAAATTAATGGGCGTCGGGGGACGCTCCCGAGACATATCCCTCGATCCTTGATTTACCCAGAGCGAAAAAAAAATATGTTTACATCTCCAATGGAGAGTGTTATTGGAAAAGTTCACCGAAGTTGCTGATGGTGCTGAGATTTTTTGTTTATTTCAGAGAGCTATAAATCCAGCTGAAACTATCGCGGTATTCGTATGCACGTAGCGTTCCAGTGCAATTGACGCTAAATTACCTTGGCAGTAACATACAGCAATGGCATGCTTCCACCGGGGAACGGTGCAACGCTCGTAAATACGATGATGTTCACGCAAAGCTAAGCGGGCAGGTGCATATAAACAATTTATTTCATAAAGAAATGCTTCCGAAAGCGGTAAGTAACGATATTGGTTTTATGCAACGATGTGTCTTATTTTGGCTTCTTGTAAAGGAGAATTATTTAAGGGATCTTCAAAATTAATACCTAAATAGCTAAGTAAGCATCTCTTAGTTCATTGTCTTTTTGTTTGTTTAAGTTAGGTGAACATTTTTTACGTAGCCGGATATTTAAAGTTGGCTAGAATTCTTTTAAGAGTGCCTGAAACCAAAGAAATGTTTTAGATTTTCACATTCCGATTCGTGAGGTCGCGGTCATCGCTTGACAAATTTACATATCTGAATTTATTTTGAACTTGAAGAGTTTCGACGACTCCTTTAGCATACACCTAAGATGTGCGATTAGGGATGGTTTACTGGTTCTGTATTATTATTAAGACTCACCACTGACCCGGAAATGACAGGTATCCAGGTAAGACTTCTATCATTACGGGTACTCAGACCTAGTAATGATATGGGTTCCTTAGATTAACAAAAAACTTTTCAGATCCTAGAATGACAGCACACAAATTCGTCTGCTATTATTCTCTAATCTCACCCTAACCCCAAGAGCTTAACGTAACTGCCGATCATTTATTTGAACAATGACTGACACTACTCTCACCTACTGGTGCTAACCCATTCTGACTGACATGATTAGACTCTCCGAGAAATTTACGTACAATATGACATTTGACAGCTTTTTGTATTTCTACAATTTAAGTGCAAATGTTTCAAATTATTAATTAAACTATTTGATACTACACCTACATTGGAAATAACTAAAGGCAGAATTGAAATGTAGCATTGCCTTCATTTCAATTGATAATTGTGGTTATTTTGAAGTTTTGGTGTGGTAACGGGTGTTCATTTAAAAAATTCATCAATTTGCCATTGATTTTTCTTTTCTTTTTTTGAAGTATGTCTGTGCTGAAATTCAAATTTATGATCGATGGAAGCGGTCATCAATCGTCTAATCTAACCTCATTTTTTACAATGCAGTAAGCAAGGAGAGTAAATCAGACATTTTTTTTAAATTTATATTAAAAACAGATTTAATATTACAATAAATGTTGAAAATATTGCCCCTCTGCGTCAATGCATCGTAAAACCCTTCTCCCAAAATTTTTGAAAACATTTTCTAACATAATGGGATTGTTATTAATCTCCAGATATTTTTGTTCAATTCTTCGTGTCTTTATAATGAGGCCACAAGAAAAAATGACAAGTTGTGAAATCACAGGAACGAGGTGGCCAAGGAATTTCTCTACTTCGACTAATTATGCGGTCATCAAAGAAGTTTCTTAAGAAATTTAAGTTGTCCATTGTACAATGAACCGGAGCTTCATTTTGTTGAAAGAATCCGTTCTGCAATTCATCATCATGTAACTGATTGACAAAGGGTTCTAAAATTTCATATTCACAAACCAATTACAAAATTCTCATCTTCTTAGGAAGTCCACTGCTGTGATACGGTAAAGATAGTTCCAACCGAAATATTAAATTGCTGATGTTACCTGACGAATTGACGTTTTTGTGTTTCTTCCATTATTTCTTTAGCATCCACAATAACCTCAGGTGTTCGTTTTTTTGGGGGTCCCACTCCCTAGTTTTCGCAAAAAGGTAACACTTTTTGCGAAGAGTTTTATAGTTCGGTCCAAGGGTTTTTTTAAATTGTATATAGGCGAGAGCAATGTTTTTTAATTCAATTTGAGATTCCTCCATGCAGGCCTATAACAAATACATCCATTCACCATCAACTTTATCCCCATTCCGATAATAACTCTGAACTAAAAAGACTTTGTGTTCTAAACTGTAAGCCATGGCACCAAGAACAGAGCGTTTGCTCGTTGGTAAATTGTGAAAACTGATTTTTTTAAAATCGAAAACAGAAAACACGTAAAAGTAAACTGAGCAACGAGACACAAACGGAAAATCGAATAAAGCGTATTAGCGTAAACAACTATGTTTGTCAAAAATGTCAAACCATTGTCAAATGTCAACTATGGAATTGATCATGCACATGCGCTTTTGGCTACATTTCCCTCTACCAAAATGTCAAAGTTAACATGATGATTTTTTTAATTGAACACCACAACATGAGTAGTCTGAGACGGTTTTGTCCTAGAAATATTAGATAATGAAAGGTAGTTAACTATTTTTGTGGTAGTATTTCCTGAGGTGATATCATTTGCTCCATCAATCTCTTCGGAGTCTCTAATAGTATTTGTTAGTCGAGGTTCAAGGCAAACATTCTCCGTCATAGGCGAAACATTTTGGTTTGGACGACTCATTTTTTCTTCCAAAATGTCAGAATTTACAGACGATTATGAAAATAGTTACTTTTCATTCTAGATTGCGAAATGTTTCTTTTCCATTAGAGAAAGAAATATTTTGAAAGTGCACAAGCATTCGCAGTCGAGTTTCAAACAACGTTTTTTCGAAAACTGTGGAGCAAGATTAGCAAAAAAGCAATACTTTTTGACATTTTGTTATGGATTCATTTTGCATTAAATATCATCCACCATGGAAACGGCGTGAAGATTGTTTATAAAAAAATCTAAAATATTACAATGTTTTTTGCAAATTTTTCAAAAGAACACACTCCTGTAGGTATGATTATGAATCCGTTTTGATTTTCGGCCCTAAATATATTAATTTTTTGAAAAAAATTCTAAAATATATGACAATTTTGACAATTTAACTTTGAAACTGCAAATCCGAATACTTCCAAATTCTTCAAACGTTTTAAGGTGCTCGTAAGCATTATAAATCGTGAATTAAAATGTCTCCCTTTATTCTCTCGCAAAAAATGCATCTCACATTTTCTCCAATAATGCTATCTAGAATACGCAGAATATTACGAGTCTATATTTGTGGTTCATCAATGCATTCATACTTGTTAGGATTGCCATTTGGCAATATCAGTTTTATGTTAGCAAGTACTAGCCCCACCCACCCGCCCTTTGTTTTCTTAGAAGGCTAGTACTTGCTAAGATAATGCTGATATTGGCAAATGACCTACTCTCTAAGAAAATGAAGGATATATCATTTGGCGAATCATTGTTATCTTGGCAAGTATTGACCCCTCCCACCCACCCTTTATTTTCTTCGAGGGTATGCCATTTGGCAATATCAGTTTTATCTTAGGGAATACTAGCCCCACCCACCCGAGATTTCTGTAAATTTATCCGAAAATAAAACACAAGGGACCTAAAATTAACTGCGAACATTTTAAACGTAGGATTTTGAAAACTTTGACAATTTTTGATACGTCAAACATTTTTAACTGCTTACTCGATTTTTGCTGATTTGTACCTTAGGCAAACATTGTTGTCAAATGGAATTTAATCAAATTAAGGTATTACTATCTTTGTAATATATTCTAAATGAAATGGTAATTAAACATGGTCATGGGCGAGAGAAATATTAACTAAAAGTTTTATTACTAGTTATTGTGATAACGAATGTGTTATTTAGTTGTTAAACGTAGCAAAAGAACCAATTTTGAAATCATTATAACTCCACGAAAATGTGAGAAGGATTTTTTTTTAGTATTTCACCCAGACTCACCAGTTGATTGTTAAAAGCGTAGCGGAGAGTTAGTCCGCCATTTTCCAGACACCCGGTATAGATTATCATAAAAAAAATAGCATTTTTTTTCGAAGAAGCTGTATTTGTTCAACTGTATATTTCAGGAGCTAGCGAAGTTCTATCTAAATGACCCCAGACCATATTATTGTTACGTTGAATGGGCAAATAAAATCGGCGTGGCTAAAACTCAACAATTTATTTCTTAGTAAGTCAAATTTACACGACTAACTGCACAGTGAATATATACAAACTAATTCTGGCACAACTCGACTGGCCCATCTTAACATTTGCTGGACTCGGTTCGACTGAATAATAATCATCGTTCCCGAAGATGGTCTCTATTTAAACCCATACTTCTGCGATCGAGATCTTTCTCGAATACCCATCGCGACTTCCGCTTCCAGGCTTTTCGAACGCCGCTCGGACGCATCAGCGACGATGAGTCAGCCGTCATTGCCGGAAGAAACAGATACATACTAGAAGACCCATAGACGTTGTACCAGGGCGGCGTATGGCTTTATTTCGTATTATTATTATTAAGTAAATTCTTCTATTATCTAAAGTTGATACTTAACGCAATTTTTCACTATTATAAGAGACACACCGACATATCTAAAGAAAAAGCCAACTAATAGAGTAGGATATAGTAATACAATACTGGTGTGCTAACTGTAACATCGATATTTGATAACTGTGAAGTTTTAGATTTTTTATAAACACTTTGTACAGTAAAATTGAATTTAATTGATGCACAACAAAGTGCGTACCTCTGTTTATCTCGCCATAAAATAGTGTAAACCTATCATAAAGATAACCCTATTGTGGTTTATTTTGTGAATCTTAGGTAATAAATTCAAGAAGTTTGTTTAGTGTGGTTATAAAGGCCACACGGTCAGAGGAAAATATAATAGGCTGTTCCATTAAATGAACAACTAATTGTAAGTATGTGACACTTCAAAATCGGAACACTCTGTGTATAATTAAAAATAATTTTAGAGTATGCTACCCAAATAATTTTTAATTAATTAAAAATTAATTAAAATTAAAATTAAAACCAATTTTAATCAAATTAGTGAGAGAGGAACTTTTTGTTTAACAGATATGCAATTTTGTTTATGTTAGTAAAATTATTATTTTTTGTAAAGGTGTTTAGCAAAAGTTGATCATAAAATCATCAAAAAATTTTATTTAAACACAGGGGTTTTCATAAAAATAAGGATATACATTAGCTCTGTTTTTTTACACTTGTTTTCTTCATATTTAGTTTATACGAATTTTATCTAGATTTCTGCAGTCGTTCTCCTCTAGCTTTTTTATTTCTTTTCGTGATTCTGATTACTCGCGGATGTAGTGTATTTTTTCAGCGTATTTGCTGCACGATAAATAGGCAACCAGTAATTCAGCTCGAATGATAGATTGCTACCCATCTCAAAGAAGAGGCAAATTCTTAATGAAAATGCAGTGAACCACAACTTGATAAACGATATTTTAAATTCACGCTGTATAACATATCAGACACAATAAATTTCACTAGAGAAAGCCTTTAACAAAAAGTTTGAAATCTCATATTGGTTCCTTCTACGGCGAGCAACTAGTGACATGTGACACTTACGCTCTCATTAAAAAAACGAGTAAGAAATCCGCAAAACATACAGTGTTATCGAAAAGTAAATACAAATCTCCATAAATTATGTGCACACAATTACTCACCAACCGTCAACAGCTTTTATTTGAAAAATTTTTAAACAATATACATATTTATTAAAGACACAAACAAGAGAAAAATTTTATGAGGATAAAATCATCCAAAAAATCTATATGATAAAGCTTACAACAAAAACATCCAGGATGTGAGCGACAAACAGAATTGTAGTTTATTTATTTACAGCTATTGCGAGCTGGAAATTTACTAACTAGCTGCAGTTGCGAATGGGAAAATCAATACCCGTATAATTTCAGCTACTCTGCAACAAAAATATTTATATAGCAATTAAGGCAAAGTAGATTAATTAAATATTTTGTAAAGTAAATATTAATCCCTATGAAAATAACAAGTTCCAGGTATGGTTATTTTCACTTTGTTCCTATTTTGGTATACTAAGAAAAACGAAAATTGGTCTAGAGTCGTTCCACATGTTTATTATAAAATTTGAAAAGGCAAACTTATGATGATTATAACCCTTATTATAAATAAAAATAGGGGTGGATAACATTAGTGCTTTTCTAGAATTCCGGGAGAATTACGTACATCATTTTTAATTTACTAAACAAAATTAATTAAATTTCAAGATAATTACCTAACGATCTCTTCAGATGACGTCATCAAGATATTGGAAGGCATAAGTAAACATACGGATTCCGATTAGCGATTTACCGTGTCAGGCGCGGATCCAGGGGGGGGGGGGCAATGGGTGCAATTGCCCCCCCCTGACACACGACCGAGGTACTTTATTTTGACCAATTTCAAAATTTTGAAATCATATTTCATTTTGTAAATACAGTACAACCTCTATAATCCGAACAGAGGCTATTTGAAGTCGATGCCTCTTTAATCCGAACAAAAACTCTGCAATCCGAACTGAACTTGAAAACATGCATCCACTTCCAAAAATGACTCAAGATCTTTCTGCATATGTTGTAGGGAATATTTTGAAATTTTTAAAAATTGCGATATTTCAAAACACTGAATTAATTAACTAATTCTGGAGAAACGGATGAAGTTATCGGAGACCCGAAATCTACAAAAGAAAGTATTTGGTTAAATTTCTAAAATCGTCGAAAATGGGTCGAAATTTGCATGAGAAAAATTTCATTTTTGAAAAATTTTCCAAAACATTCTAAAAAAATTCAGGGATATAACCCTGATTCCAAAAATATACCATGTTTATGGTAACGGAGCAATATTTTCGGAAAATTCGCTGTGAAATTCGAATTTCAAAATTTTATAAATTTTTTTGTTTAGAACGAATTTCTGGTGGATAGGTAAAGTCACACAAAAATTGCCCCCCCTGAACGAAATCCTGTATCCGCGCCTGTACCGTGTAAGGCCACACGTTTAAAGGTCGATTTATAAACTTGTCGCTGACGTTGCTGTTCGCCGTTGACGTTGCCGTTGTAAGATAAATACGCAGCGAAGGTATGCGTCATTTATATCATCCGTTGACGTTGCCGTTGGGATGACGTTCGAGATGACCTTTCGCCGTTACGTTGCCGTTGACGTTGGGTTTTAAACCAATCAAATTGCGATAGTGTGCAGTGCTGCCAACCTAAAGGAAAATCCCCTGAAGTAGGGGGGACATTTTTCTGGTTCACAGCATTAATTCCACGAAAATAAAATCTTGATAGAGATATTGAGGTCCGCTAATGTTAATTTAATCACCTGCTCACCGAAACCCTCATATTTTAAATAGCTGCCATAATTTTCTACACTGTAGTTTTCTGTCAGTCAAACAAGATCTATTGCTATTCGTATCAGAATCAGATTAGGTATTATAACTAAAAGGGCTTACATTTTGCTCTTTTTTTCTTAATATGTGTAGTCTTCTTTCCACAACAAGAAAGGTAAAACATGTTTAAAATGGTAAATTTTTGTAGGGAAGTATCGATTTTGCAATTAGGCTCCGCCCCTCGGCCTGACAACGAATGAAAAATCATCACAATTAAGGTTGGGATGGACATGGGTGGGGCTTAATTTTTGTCTTGGTTTTTTTCTTAATATGCATAGGATTCTTTGAGCAACACGATACTCAAAAACATGTACATACAATTACTTACATATTTCACATGGTAATTTCTAGTAGAACATAAGGATTTTGCAATTAAGCTCCACCCTTCGACTTACGACGAATAAAAAAATCATCAGAATTGAGACAGGGTGGGTGGGCGGGGCTTATGTTTTGCTTCTTTTTTTCTTAATATACATAGCCATCTTTTCATAACAAGAAACTTAAAACATGGTTAAAATGGTACACTTTTGCAGGGAAATATGGATTTTGCAATTATGGGGCGGAACCTAATTGCAAAATGATATTTTCTTATACAAATTTTCCATTATAGAGATGTTTTAAGTATCATGTCGCGAAAAGAAGTCTACACATATTAAAAAAAAAAGGCAAAATATAAGCCCACCCACCCATCCTATCTCAATTGTGATGTTTTTTTTATTCGCCGTGAACCAACCGGGGCTTAACTGCAAAATACTTATTTTTAATTTTACAAGAAATTAAAACCATGTTTTTGAGTATCGTGTTGTTCAAAGAAAACCATATATATTAAGAAAACAAGGCAAAATATAAACCCCGTCACCTATCCCATCTGAATTGTGATGTTTTTTTTATTCCTAGAAAGTTAAAACACGTTTAAAATGGAAAATTTGTATAAGGAAATATCAATGTTGCAAATAGGCTCCGCCCACTTAAAACACATGACAAATTCTAGCGTAATTGTTTGTTTAGTTCTAAGTCAACTTTTGTTGTTCATTTTTTATTTTTCTACAAACATTTGCATGCATAATTTTAGGAATAGGGTAATTAATCACAAGTGCAGCAATATATTATTTTGCTATTTTTGAAGTAGGAATTAGAATTGAGAGTTTATTCATTCACTAACAGGAGTTTTCCTTTTAATTCACTATAACAGGTGAAATGTATTTGTAAATACAGCCCAAAAATAAAAATAACATATTTATTTAAGGTAACATGGAAAGGAAAAAGAAAAAAAAAATTAAAACTAATTACTTAAAAAAGTATGGGATGACATCATCAATTTTTTGTAGGGATGATACATCTATAATTTCGCAACAATCAGTTCACTAGTTTTATTCATTATTCTTCTAATAAAATTTCGGTAGATGACACACACCACCGACAAGTGAAAATGGGAACCCACATTTTCATATTCTACTCGTAGTAGCCACAAAAACTTTATATTATTTTACATATCTTTATCATGTAAAGCTACTTCATTATATTTATAGTTAAATAACATAACACAGCGCAGTGTTGTTCGTGCCAACCTTTGAATGAAGATAAATTCAACAGCTGTCCATCAACCCACACCTACACTCTAATACCTGCCTTAACTTCCTCCCACTCTGAATTTCTTTGACTATCAACAGTATATTCACCAGACCACTATGTCCGCATTGTTTTCGAACAAGATTACACGAGACATTAGCAACAAATACAAAGCGACGGCCTATAACAACACCGGTCCAAGGTCGGCTTAGGGCCATGTTGTACTTGCGAATTAAGTGGAGTGCTTTTCAATGCGCTTTCGCCGACTTGCCGTTAGGATTAAAGACCCTTTCAAACGATAAGTCCCTTTAGCTCCGGAATCATGCAATCAATTTGTATTATTATCAGTACAATCGGCAAGATTGACTTTGATTAATTGAGTGGGCGGTGGGAGACAGAGACAATGAAGCCATTAGGAAGATGACTAGGCTGACATACGCTATCAAAGGCGAATGAAGCCTTCAGCTATCTATTTATGAATAAAGAATTAGCAACCTGTCTGAACGATTCCTAAGTCTTTTAGTTAATCATTTTGTTCTAGATTTTCTAGAAGTAGTGGAAAATGTCAAATATTAGACTTTTCCAAAAATAGACCGGAAAATTGTTAGAGCTTGACTCAGTTACTAAATGAATTTTTTTCACTAATGAATAATGTACTGAAATAAGAAAACAGGAGCGTGTCCAAATTTTCAATGTTGGAAAAAACAGTGTGTACACAAAAGTGCTT